TATTGAAATGGATGCCCTAGCCTTCCTCCCTTTACCTTAAAATGCAGTAGCAAGGACATATAGACTTTAGGACCTCACTTCCCGGTCCTCTAGGTTCGTTAGAAGGGAAATTGCTTTTTCACGAAAAATGTGTGTGTCTGTGTGTGTACTTTTTGTTCATTTATGTTGGGTCAGTCTATCTGCCTACATCTATATGTATAAATGTTGGCACTACATGTCATTGTTGTACTTCCATCTCTAAATCTAGAGGAGATGCAGTATAAAACATTGTAGAGAGACTTGACACCTTTTAGAAAGCTACAAACGTCTGCTAATGTAACAAAAACTCTCCATGTGAAAACTACATAATTACATGGCTAGGGTTTCATCAAAACCCTAGAAAAGAAGACTAGCCACTCATGGAGGAGTGGAAGGAAGTAGAAAGAGAAGGAATCCCCATGGGAGACATCTTTGAAGCTTTTTGTTTCTTCCTCTTTTTTAAACCCTAGCCTCCCTCTTTAGGTCAAAACAATTTCAGAACCCTAATCCAGCCTTTTTCTTGTCTTTTTATGCTTCCAATCTCGTCCAAACAGGTTTAAAACGTCGGTTTGACTTTCCCAGAAAAAGTCCACGCACGTGCGGGAAAAGTCAACGCACGTGCGGGAAAGTCAACTCTGCCCAAATTCTGACTTTTTGCTCATTTTATGCTCCGACGATGTATAGCCTGATTGACACTCAACACACATAAAATATACAGTTTGACCAACAAGTGAAGTTAAGAGATTCTAATTAACGGCCTCAATGATGTACATTTCAGCCTTAATCACTTCACAACTACAAGCTCAAAGCATTTAACAAGAAGATCATCACATTCAATGTACGAGCACGAACCATCTCAAGTAATACGAATCGTTCACTCTAAACTAGGGTAGTGATACGACTTGTTCCTCGTAGCATGGTTCGTCCCATACCTTGAATGTGAAGGAATAGAAAACTCATGTATGGATAATATTCAACAATCACAGAAAGTTAAATATTTGAAAGGATAATGAAAATTATATATAAAGAATTTTTAAAACACCATACAATGGTTCAAACCTTTACATAATATAAAATCAAAAAGAAAACTACATAATTACATGGCTAGGGTTTCATCAAAACCCTAGAAAAGAAGACTAGCCACTCATGGAGGAGTGGAAGGAAGTAGAAAGAGAAGGAATCCCCATGGGAGACATCCTTGAAGCTTTTTGTTTCTTCCTCTTTTTCAAACCCTAGCCTCCCTCTTTAGGTCCCTTCACATAAATAATAGTATAGATAGATATAGAAGATAATAGTATAGATAGAATATATATTTGCTCCCTGTGTTGTTTAAGTTCATGTCATTTATGTTTAATGTCAACGTTCAAATGATAGAACTTTCCTAGATAGAATTGAAGTGGCATGGCATATTTTTGAATTACATGATAGATGATTCTATACCAATAAGAGGAATAGAGTAATATTCCCAGTTCCAAATGTCTGAAAGGAAAAATGAAAAAAATTGATAAACAATGCAACAATTTTAGCAAATCTTAATTATCTAGTATATATATATATATATTAGATAACAACTGAACTCCTTTTTTTTTTTTCCTTTTCTTTTCTTTTTCTGTTTACGTGAAATGCCAACAAGTTTGAGTTGAATTAATGTTGTTGAAAAGAACAAGAATTACATTCCTAAAGAAAGTGCTATGTTGTGGATTATGAGCAGCCATTATCCTTCCTGAGCAGAGTTGTAGCATCAGAAAAGGCGGGTTTGGCAGTGAGCAAAAAAGGTTTGACATTGAAAGAGCTTCTTCAGCAAACATCTCATCACAATTCCAAAGTCCGAAAAGGTATTTTGTTATTAATCTAAAACTCTATACTAGTGTAAAGGATTTGCTATAATAGTGGTTGGATTTTTGTACCTGTGGACCTACAAATGAATAGAAATGAATATTAATGCTTAAGCTCACCTTTTGTAATGAGGTGTATTCTATGAAGTATGGATACTTCAAAATAGGAGCCATAGCGGTATCCGACACGGAGACACGCCGGGGACACGTATGCGACATGCCAAATGGCTTGTCCCGTTAATTTTATTATTATTATTATTATTATTGTTTTCCTGTGATGAAGCCTGGTGACTCTAATGTTATTTTTAAACTCGTTTTTTCTCCTTTCTCTCCAATTTTCTACACTTAATTTATCTTTAAATGGAGCTTCAAAATTCCTAAATAAGAAGGCCCTAGTTGTTTGCTCTTATTTTGTTTAATACTGAGGCATTCTGTGTTCTAATAGAATCTTCAGTGTTAGGGAAAGACAAGAAAGAAGAGAGGGGAAGAGCTGAAGGGCCACAACCCTCATACAACGGCCAAAGCATTAAACACTCAATATTATTCCAAAGTTGAAAAATACAATGCCAAAAAACTTAATATTTATAAGCTTGAAACCCTAATAAAAACAGGAAACTAGAATCCCTAAGAAAAAGGAAATAAATTAAAAAACATTTAATTAACCTCTAATTAAAAATACAATAAATAGTAAATGCTAAACCGACAGAGAAAATGAACTCGACCTTGAGTTTGCTTATAAATATTGAGCTCCTCCATGCAAACAAGATTTTCTGTCAGTTGTCTATGGTTATAAGCAAAGTTATTGTATGTCTAATGTGGTTGAAACTTCATGACTGTCTTCTCTATCAGGAGAAGAAAAATATGCTTTCCTGTTTCTCCATCTACCAATATCACTATTTATAATTTCTTTTAAGAGAGAATTTTTTTGCTTCTGAAATAGATCTTCAATTAATGAGTTGGTTATATTTAGTATGACGCGTGGCTTGTATTATGCAGAAAAGAGTTGTCCTATGTTGGAGAATGATGAGATCTCAAATTGTGGGATTTCTAAGTCAATCACTCGTGCCGTCTGCTCTTGCTTGTTACAGATGGGTGATTATTGTCTTCTTTTCCAGATACTAGAGAAAGTAGTTCTTGACCAGATAGTGAGTTGACTCAATCACCCTCGTCTCATTATCTGTTGTTTACTACGTTTTTAGACTCTATATTGTATTATTTCTTCCTCATTTCGCTGATTCCATTGATTATTATTATTATTATTTATTTCTGTTACTGTTGATGTGTCTGCAAAAGTAAACTTCTTACTGTAGCCCCATCCCCTTTATTTATTTATTTATTTCAGACACCGAACCCAGCTTTCGACAATTTATGTGCTCTGCTCAGGATGCTTGTCGCACTTGACGCTAGACCCACGGGATTTTCTCAACAGAGTATTATCATTCTAAGCAATTTCCTTCCAGGATACTTAATTGATGTTGTGTCTGCAAGTAATTATTCTCCTTGAACTTTTGTTGCAATCAATTTATAAAGATTACAATGAGCATTGTGGATTGTCTCATCATATCAAATTACTAATTCTGTCTAATTTAGCTGGCAGTGTTGGTTTTCATGAACACCTTTATTATTTAAGATTCTAGCAATTTATGGTTCCTTCTCTCCACCCAAGGGTGGTGCTGGAAATTTGTGTTAATGCATATAATATGATAGTGGTGTTGGTGGTAGATAGTGGCATGTATAGAATATGATAGTGGTGTTGATTCCTTTACTTTGAGAAAATGTGTACAAAAACTATATGGAGACTAGGGCCCCGTTTGTTTGGGGTTATAGGGAGGGGATTGGGATTATCAATCCCTTGATATTACTAATGAGGGTGTTTGTTTTGAGAGATGGGGAGGAGACTATTAGTCCCTTGGTATTAGTAGTCCCCTTGGAAGGGGGATTGGTAAGGAGGAAGTAGAGATGGTATTAGAAAAATAATGAGGGGATTAGAAATTTTTTTATTTTTTTTATATTGGGAATTTTTTTAAAAATATAATGTTTAATTTTTTTATATTTTTTTATTTGTTTTATTATTTTATATAAAAATAATTTAACAATTCCTCACTATTAATCCCCTCACTATCAATCCTCTCACTATTAATCCCTTCACTATCAATCCTCTCACTAACAATCCCCTCACTATTAATCCCCTCACTATCAATCCCCTCCATTCTATCTCCCAAAACAAACGGGGCCTAGAGGTTTCGTAAATAATCATCTGGGCCTAGTCACTGTTGCATATGCTATCAAGAGACACTGCTTTTGTTGATCAAAAAGTGACAGACTGTCTATTTTGCAAAGTTCCATAGAGGTTTCTCATCGTATATGTTCTCTAATTTCTACATTGGTTTTGGATACAACCCTTGTTGAAGGTCATTCAAGCTTTAACCTGTGAGTATGTTACAGATTTTTCAACATTGTAGCACCTAGAACACAAAAACTGGCTCAATCAAGAAAACTCCATATAGAGCCATGTTGCCAAGGCATTTTGTTTAACCGGTCTTACTCTGAAAAAAGTGGTGGTGACCTTATGTCCTAGAGCTAACAACCATTTTTTGGTTACCAAGCCTCCTCCATGCCCCTGGACCAACATCTACCACCTCCACTTCACCTACTCCTTACCTACTACACACTCACCCTCTTCTATATATAAGAATCATGAATCATTGTAATAAATATAACATTATGATCAATCAATAATACATTAATTTTTTACAGTTTTTGTAGTTTATTTTCTAATTAGGTCCTTGGTGCTCCATGGGCCCAAGCAAAAGCTATGGGCATGTATATCTTCGGGAGATGTTTTATTGTTTTATCATGCTACTTCTTTGGCCTCTACTTTTTGTCACAATACCCACTTAATATTGAATCTTTCTACTTCTGATGCAGTGCTTTCCAGAAGATGATGATGAATCCCGCATCCCAGTCCTTAGAAGCACAAGACATTATTATTTCCTGCCTTGCTATATCTTGTTTTATAGGAGCAACAAACTACTCAATCTTGTTTTAAGGAAGATGGGATCTTTGGTAACTGAAAAGAGTAGGATAACTGCAATTGTTTCTGTTGTCCTACTGATGCATAAGGATGTTAAAGTCTGGAAAATTCTTTCATCATGCAAGACAGATATTGACTTCATTTTACAGAGTATACTCGTGGTACAGGTATGATTTTGCACCTAAAGCAAGAGACATCATTGTCGTCCTATTTACCTTTAAAGTTTATCTTTCATTTTAAGGCAACAAAACATTATCCAAAATTTGATCATTTTGTTTTTTTATAGTGAACTGAGCTTTGTGTATATGTTTCTATTTCAAGGACAATAAAATTATATAGTCTAGAACTTTATCTATAATATAATAATCCAAGATTGGAAGGTTTGTTTCCAGAATTCATTTAATGTTTCCTATTTCTATACTTGTAGACCCTTATGTAGTGACAGCAGCATGCCTTGTTGATGATAAAAATGTATATTTATTAGCTACAATGAAATCAAATGACTGCTTAATATGATATAAGTTAAGAAGCATGGACTAGCATGTTCATGTCTTTTCTGTATTGGATCCATGTTGGACACTCACAGTCATTGGACACTTCCTGACAGACACTTGTCCAAACATGTTATATTAATTTTTATTTAATTATTTTAATTTTTGTAGATCCAAACACACTTCGGACACTTGGGGGAAACATGCTCTCGCTTAAACACTTCCTGACAGAAACTTGTCCAAACGTGTTATATTAATTTTTATTTAATTATTTTAATTTTTGTAGACCCAAACACACTTCAGACACTTGGGGGAAACATGCTCTCGCTTAAAACACATTAAACTAATTATAAATTTGAGCAAATTAATTTAAGATATAATGATAAAAGAAAAACAGTAATGTTTGTTCCAAAAAAAATTTAGATTTATAATAAATTAGTATTATTTTGCATTTTTATTATATTTGGATGATATATTTTTATATATGACATGTAATAAATATATAAAATCATATATTTTGTGCATATCCCTCACGTTTTGTGTCTTGCATTTTTTGAAAATTATCATGTTGGGTTGTGTCTGTGCTTCTTAGAATACAAGTTGGATAGTTAAGAAATATGTTTGAAAAATTGAGTAATTGTTGAAATGAAGATGTTAAGATGAGTCCTATGAAGCACGGGTACTCCAAAAATGGTGCCGTATTCGTACCGGGTACTTACCGGGTGCTGGTACGCGTACCGGTACGGCTGCACGCGTACCGGATACGGCAAACAGTGTCTCGGTACGTTTGGGAGAACTGGTACGGCTTGGGTATGCCCGTGGGTACGCCGGGGTACGGCAGAACTCAGCTGTTCCGAACACGGAAGAAAAGAAACAGAGAGGAGAGAAGAGAGGAGTACCTGGTTTGAAGCTTCAACGGCTCCGACAACCTTCGATCGACCTCGACGACCTTTGATCGACCTTTGACGACCTCCGACGACCTTCGCCTTCTCTTTCTCTCTCTCTCTCTCTCTCACTTTGCCTATTTCTCTCCTCTCTCTCTTCGACTCTGTTTCTCTCTTAGCTATAACCTAGATATAGATATTATATATAGATATATATATAGTATAAATTATAATTTATATTATATTATTATAACTTTTCAAAAAAATTAATTAGAACAAAATTATAAAAATTAATTAGAACAAAATTAATAATCAATCATACTTTTTAGTTTTGATATTTAATTTCAATTTGTAGGTTGGATCTTTTAACCATAATTATAAAAAATAAAAAATAATAAAAAAATATCGGCGTACCGCAGCCGTACCCGTATCCTACTTTTTTGAGGTTTTGCCGTATCGGCGTACACGCACTCGTACCCGTACCGTACTCGTACCCGCACCCGTGCTTCTTAGGATGAGTCAAAGGTGTTAAAAGAGATGATAGAATAAGAAGTGAATGCATCTGTAGGAAGTTAAAACTGGCACCAGTTGAATATCAATTTAGGTAAAGCCGATGAAGATGGTATTATTGTGTGCAAGAAGCCCAACTGGTGCAAAGTCACAAAAGAGTAATTTTATCTAAATTGAAAGTTTAGAAGGAAGTAGGCCAAATGAGGCATGGATTGATGTCAAGAATCAAGATAAAGGACACAGACCTTTGAACTTACTTGAGTTTATGGCTATGACTTAGAAAATATGAGGAAGAAGAACTCCGAAAATATGAGGAAGAAGGAATATATTTCTGTTATATTCAAAACTTCTTATTTTACAAGACCAAATGACACTCCTTATATAGGAGATATTACAAACATCATTATAACCCATTATATGCCACTTACATATTATATATTACCACTATCTACCACTATCATATTATATACATGCCACTATCTACCACCAACACCACTATCATATTATATTCATTAACACAAATTTCCAGCACTATGTATGGATCCACTTAGAGGAGACAATTTTATGTTTCCAACCCTAGTAAACAGGGATCAAGTTTTGTCCAGTTGAGTTGAACTTTTAAGGAACTAGAAAATAAAGGTTATTGAGATTTTACTAGTGGAGCATGATTGTCAGTATATTTACAAGGGTACTCACTACTTGATGTAATCACTACTTCCTTGTTTGCCAGTTTCCTCCCTCTGCCAAATTTCATTCTCTAGCAAAAGCAGTAGTTCCTGAGCATGTCCAAAACATAGATTTCCCAAAGGAGCTTCATTCTTAGGGTAAGTACTTAAAATGTTACACTGTTTGGTTAATTAACATGCTCACACTGCCTACAATTATTGGAGTTATTTTCTTTTCTTACTAAATTAAATCTGATTTTTGCACTGTTGCAGCACATCAGTTCAATCTTTGAACAGCTAGTGACTAAATAGCCCAACACCATTTTTATGCTTTTAGCAACTAGTCATCAGTTGTGTTTCCATGCACATGTAAGTTAATTCTCTTCCATATGATCATAATGCAGTCATCTGAGGAAGACAACATGGTCCTTGAAGAAAGGCACAAAATACAGTCTGTAGTTGATCGACTAAACACTCTAATCAGTGAAAGCTGACAATCTAAAAGCGTACTTGTACTAAGAAACCTTCCCAGTAAGTCTACTTCCTTCTGTTCTATTTGTTTGTGGTCAATCAATTTCCTTATTTATGTGGCACATGATTTTCTATTGCACTTTTACAGGTTAAAAAGAAACCTATAAATTTAATAGTTCCGCAGGATAAATGGAATTGTGGTGGGTTTTGGTTATTAGCATGTAGGGTCAGGAGCATAGATTTAAACAAGAGCATAGGGACATGTATAAACATCGGCGTAGTGGTCGAAATTGGACAGTAGTGGTCGATATATTAGTAAATAATGGTATCAGAAGTTCAAAATCCTGTTACTTAATGGCCCATACAATACATAACTGCCGGTATTTAAAACCCCTGGTTTGAATAGAGGGACGAACTGATATTTTTCGACTGTAGCGAGTTGTTAACAAATATATCATAGGTTTCTCTTTCCTTTCCTTTCCTGGTTTTCTTTTCAGCAACCATTTCAATTATCAACGCCGTTTGTTTTTAGATATAGAATGGAAGGAATTCATAGTAAGGGGATTGATAGTGAGAGGATTAAGTAAAATTGTGTTTGTTTTGATGATAGTTGTTAGTGTAGGGATTGTTAAATTATTTTTATGTAAAATAATTAAAAAAATAAAAAAATGCAAAAACATTAAACATTAATGTTCAAAAAAAAAAAAAAAAAATGCCCAACATGTAAAAAATTTAAAAAAAAAAAAAATTTCTAGTCCTTAGGACTATTTTTCTAACACCACTTCTACCTTTTCCATCCCAATTCCCCTTTCAAGGCCTGTCCTAATACTAAGGGATGATGAGTCTTCTTTCCATCTCTCAAAACAAACATCCCATATAGTGGGTCCCCATATAGTGGGTCTAACCTTAGTATCAATCCCAATCCCTTCCCTATAATTCCAAACAAATGGGGCCATGTGGCCTTCTGTCCTGCAACATTTGGGCTCATTGTCCGTAACGATTGATTCAAAAATTGATCAAGAATGGGTGAAGTGAAGCAATGAAAATGTGATTAACGTACGGACTTCAAATACAATGAATAGTCAAGGGCTTAAATTCAATTCACTACCCCACAAAATATGAATATATACACATGAATGGATATATGTATGGATTTGCTGTAAGGGAAGGTAAATGACTTTTTCGTTGGTTTGGGGATGAGGCCACCGAGTAGGAAGCAAAATTGACGTTGGAATCAGCCTCTCATCAACAATGGGCAATGCCTAATGAGTCCTGATACTGTAACATTTTTTGTGTCCCCAGTCTCAAGAGACTGATATTTGTGCTTTTAATGCTCTCAATTCCCGCAGAGAGAGAGAGAGAAGCAAAGCGACTTTGAACTGACTTTCAGAACTTGTCTGATAAACCTTTTTGTAGGCTTTCACACACAGCAAGAAACAAAAGTGTTAAATCCCTAAAAAAACTTTGTGAATGAACTTAAGTAGAGGAAGACTGGCCAACGTTATATCAACCAAAATATTTCATTTATTTTTTTAATAATTAGATTTAAAATATTTGAAATTAGAATTTATCATATCTTTTTGAGTTCTATATGTATATCCATATCTTTTTTCTTTTAAATTTTACTTTTTTTTCATAAAAAAATGATTTACAATAGAAATTAGGAAAAATGGAAAGGAATATTTATAAGGCTGCTAGGAAAGATAATCTCAACTTTGAATGAGACCAAGTTTGAGAATTTAGAAACATTGAAAACTATACTACATCTGTATATATATAGATAGTATATAGTATAGGTTTTCTTTCATTTTATTGAAAACTACATTCTTTATATTATATAAAGATATACAATAATATTAAATATTTAAAATAAAAATACACAATAATATTAAATATTTAATATGATATTTTCCTTTCTTGTTGACTCATCTTCATTGCCTATGTATCCATATTGCAATAGCTAATCCGTACATATAAGTAACCACTTTCTCATACAACGAAGACAGACAAAACAATGTCAAAAGGATTCAAGGTTTTGATCTCTCGAATCATCTCATCCTTCCAATTTTGCCACTCTAAAAACCCTTCCAACTTCCTAGAAAATCCTGTCCATTCATTCCTTCAAATCTCTCCAAACTCTGTCTTCATTGACTGCCTGTCGGTGACCCTACCCCCTTTCAAACCCCACCGCTCCTCCTTCAAGCACCACATGTCCATCTTCTCATCCGTCGGCTGTGGGTTTGGTACACAGTACACCTTTGAAGATGACCTCACCGAATCATCGGAATTCAAGTGGGACGAGACGCCGTGTCGCGAAATCTACAACTCCTCAATCTCTGGCGATTCCGACAACGACCTCTTCCCTCTTGCTCCTCCTCCGCTGCACACGGCGGCGAAGAAGAAATGACAGAGCAAAAAAAGAAAGCGATGACACGGCATCGTATCAGCCCTTCCTCGACCGAAAGTAGGTTGTTTGGCGACGAGAGAGACGAGGAAGAAGAAGGGATCGTAACGCTAGTTTCGTTTTCACAAAATCACAAGAAGAGAATGAAGCGAGCGAAATGCAACATTTCGAAAGGAGGAAATGTGTGGTCGTCGGAGATTGAGTCACTAGGGAGGTTGTTTGGGTTGAAGAAGTTGATACCGTTGTTTGCGACGGAGGGAAAAGTGAAGAAGAGCTTCGCGATGGTGAAGAAATCAGAGGACCCGTATGAGAATTTCAAGAGATCAATGATGGAGATGATATTAGAGAAGCAAATGTTTGAGGCGAGAGATTTGGAGCAGCTGTTGGAGTGTTTTTTCTCGCTGAATTCGCATAATCATTACAAGGCTTTTACTGACATTTGGGAGACATTGTTTTGTAGTACTAGTTAATTTCCACTCATCATCGAGTTTCTTTCAATGTTCTTTGAAACTCTTGATAATTGTTAAAATGAAAGATTAAAAAATAAATTTACTGGCTTTTGTGTTATTAATTATTAGAATCTATGATTACTAATGTGTTGATGGTGATGAATTTGGTCATACATGCTCCCTTTTTCTTTTGTTTGCTTTTTCTTTCTTTCTTATTTTTTGTGATCTAAAATATTTGACTTAAAAATGGGTCTTTTTTTGTTTGTAGTGGGATTTTGTATTGAACATTTAAAATTTCAAGTCTATTATATTAAATTCCTAAATCCCACTACAAACAAAAAGAGACCCATTTTTAAGTCAAATATTTTAGATCACAAAAAACAAGAAAAAAGAAAAAAAGAAAAAGCAAAAAAACAAAAGGAAAAGAGAGCATGCATGACCAAATTCATTCCCATCAGCACATTAGTAATCATAGATTCTAATAATTAATAACACAAAGCTAGTAAATTTGTTTTTTAATCTTTTCTTTCAACAATTATCAAAAACTTCAAAGAACATTGAAAGAAACTCAATGATGATGAGCGGAAATTCAACTAGTATTAAAAAACAATATCTCCCAAATGTCAGTAAAAGCCCTGTAACGATGACGCGAATTCAGCGAGAAAAAACACACCAACAGCTGCTCCAAATCTCTCGCGTCAAACATTTGCTTCTCTAATATCTCCATCATCGATCTCTTGAAATCCTCATATGGGTCCTTTGATTTCTTCACCGCCGCGAAGCTCTCCTTCACTTTCCCCTTCGCCTCAAATGACGGTATCAGCTTCTTTAACCCCGACAACCTCACCGGCGACTCAATCTTTGGTGACCACACCTTTCCTCCTTTCGAAACATTGCATTTCGCTCCCTTCATCCTCTTCTTGTGATTTCGTGAAAACGAAACTAGCGTTACGATCCCTTCTTCTTCCCCGTCTCTCTCGTCACCAAACAACTCATTGTCGGTCGAGGAAGTGATGATACGGTGTCGTGTCTTCGCTTTCTTTTTTTTGCTCCGTTGTTTTTTCTTTGCCGCCATGTGCGGCGGAGGAGGAGGGAAGAGGTCGTTGTCGGAATCGCCGGAGATGGAGGAGTTGTAGATTTTGTGATGCGGCGTCTTGCCCCACTTGAATTCTAGTGATTCAGTGAGGTCGTCTTCAGAGGTGTACTGTGTGCCGAGCTCCGAACCCACAGCTGACGGATGAGAAGTTGGAGGACACGTGGGGCTTGAAGGAGGAGTAGTGGGGTTTGAAAAGGGTGGGGTCGCCGGCGGGCAATCAATGAAGACGGGGTTTGGGGAGAGTTGGAGGAACGAGGGGACAAGATTTTCTGAGAAGTTGGAAGGGTTTTTGGAGCGGTAGAATTGGAAGGATGAGATGATACGGGAGATCAAAACCTTGAATCCTGTTGCCATTGTTTTGTCTTTGTTGTATGAGAAAGGGGTTGCTTATATGTACGGATTAGCTATTGCAATATGTATATATTGGCAATGAAGATGAGTCAACAAAAAAAGAAAATATCATATTTAATATTAGTGTATTTTTATATTGAATATTTAATAATATTGTATATCTTTATATAATATAAGGAATGTAGTTTTAATAGAATGAAAGAAAATCTGTACTATATATATTTACAAATTTAGTATAGTTTTCGATGTTTCTAAACTCTCAAAGTTGAGATTATCTTTCATACTTGGCAGTCTTATAAATATTCCCTTCCATTTTTCCTAATTTCTAATAAAATTATTTTTTTTATGAAAAAAAAAGTAAAATTTGAAATATGGATATACATATAGAATTCAAAAAGATAAAATAAATACTAATTTCAAATTTAATTAGTAAAAAAATAAATGAAATGTTTTGCTCTAAATTCTTCTATTATTATTTTCTTATTTGACAGTCTTAGAAATCTTCTTTTCCATTTTTCCTAATTTCTTAAAAAAATTTATTTTTTATGAAAAAAAAAGTAAAATTTGAAATAAAAAAAGATATGGATATCTATCTATATATATAAAGAAAATGGTCTTTCTAAAAATTATAAAACCTTTTCTTTATATGATAAACAATTCAACATAATCTAAAATTTATAAAACCTTTCAAATGGTCACATTATTTATGCTATAACTAATATAGAAAAATTTTTCAATTTCTAATAAAATTATTTTTTTTTTTGAAAAAAAAAGTAAAATTTGAAATATGGATATACATATAGAACTTAAAAAGATATAATAAATACTAGTTTCAAATTTAATTATTAAAAAAATAAATGAAATGTTTCACTCTAAATTCTTCTATTATTATTTGACAGTCTTAGAAATCTTCTTTTCCATTTTTCCTAATTTCTAAAAAAAAATTATTTTTTATGAAAAAAAAAGTAAAATTTGAAATAAAAAAAGATATGGATATCTATCTATATATATATAAAGAAAATGGTCTTTTTAAAAATTATAAAACCTTTTCTTTATATGATAAACAATTCAACAGAATCTAAAATTTATAAAACCTTTCAAATGGTCACATTATTTATGCTATAACTAATATAGAAATTTTTTTCAAAATTTATAATAATGCTCCTTTCAAAATTCAATATAGTAAGCTTTTAAAATTAATTAATTATTTATTTATTTCCAAACGCACATACTAAGTTTCTTAATTAATTTTTATTTATTATTAAAAAATTAAAAAAAAAATCTATTGGGTAACACTTTCTCAACAATAAAAATATAGCTATCTAATGATTTATGAAATTTTGAAGGAAAGTATACTAACCCATTTTAAAATTTAAAAGTGTGCCATATAACTATTAAAAAAAATCTAATTTTCTCTTTATTTATGACTTTTAAAAAGAAAGAAGACTAAATCAATTTTAAAAATTTAAAATTGTGTATCACAAATTATGAAAAGTAATTTACATCTCCCATAAATCTTCTCTCTTGCACTTATTGGAATCGAGTCAACTTAGAGTCGGTATTCATCAAATGTTGTAACTGTTAGTGATGGAGTAATTGTGAAGAATTCAATTGATAAATTTTTTCATTGTAAGTTTATGATTTTTTATAAAGATCAATTTCTAATCTTTAGCCTCCGCATCCTTATTTCTAATATGCATCTAACAATTATGTTAATTTTTAAAAATTTGTTGCATGCTTATTTAATCTAAGTGTATTTTATAAAATAAATCTCCAATATCTTTGGTCGAGGTTCAACGGTTTAAAATCTATATTTATCAAGTACATAAATATGGATAATAAAGGCTATTGAGAAAATTTGCATATCTATTAACAAATTTTTATTGGAAGTTTCTTCTTCTTTTGGGTGATACATATGGTTATAATATTATTTATGCATTTATGTTTTGTAATTTCCATGATTTCATATTTCAAAATTTTTATAAGGTTTGCTTTTAATTTTCAGATTTTATAGTTGGTGCACTTTTTCTTAAATAATGTTATACTTATTATATTTTTATATTATATTATATTACATTTTATTGTGTGATAGTTTATTTGGTTGTTATTTTAAATTATAATTTATGTGATATTTTTATAGCTTATTTGGCTAAAATATAGAGGTTTTTTAAATTACAATTTGTAACTCCTTTTTTTAAAACTTATTTGAAATATTTGAAATCCTTAAATACATATGAATATAAGAGTTTCATATCTTTCGTCTTGGTAATAACTTTTGAGGCATTATGTATATTTGCACAATAAAAATGTTTCATAGATTATCGAAAGTTATATTGCACCAAATAAATTTACAATTTATTTTAAGGTAATAATTTAAAATTTTACTTATAATTTATAACCATTTTATGTGTCATGCCAAACATTAAACAAAATTTAAAAAATACAAGGTGCATTTAGATTAGGGCCTAAGTTGCATAAGCTTAATAATGGTTGTAAACATGGTGCACTAATATGTGGATAGTTTTCTTAAATAAATATTTGGTAAAATTTTGAATGAGAAAATTTTGTTTAAAAAATATAACCATTTTATGTGTCATGCCAAACATTAAACAAAATTTAAAAAATACAAGGTGCATTTAGATTAGGGCCTAAGTTGCATAAGCTTAATAATGATCGTAAACATGGTGCACTAATATGTGGATAGTTTTCTTAAATAAATATTTGGTAAAATTTTGAATGAGAAAATTTTGTCTAAAAAATGGGTTGATGATTAGATTTAAAGCATATTTGATAAAACTTAATTATTAATTTTCTAATGCTAAAAGTTTTAATAAAGTATAAAATTTTAAAATTATATAAATTTATTCATAAATTTTAAATGTGAAAAATGTTTGGAGTATTTGAAAATATTAAATTTACTCATAAATATTAAATTTTCAAATGCTAGAAGAACTATTTGATTAAGTATAGAATTTTTTTAATAAAAATGGTTTATTAATAAAGTTATTTCATACATATTTATAATGTATCATGCTTATTTTTATTTTATTTTATTTTTTAAAGTTTGTGATTAGCTCTTAAAAATTTATAAAATTCTTATTTGAAATGTGGATTATGCATAAATTTATTAACAAATGAGAAAAAAATTATAAATTCACATATAATACATGCATTACCTTTTATTTGAACCATGCTAATTATAAGTCAAGTAATCATTTTGGCTCAAGTTACGTACTAAATAAATATTGAGATTTAGGTACTAGCCATTGAAATGGTCTAACACATCTTCATTCAAATACTCTAAGCCTATGGGTTAGAGTTAAATTGTTTTATATACATATTCAGTTTAATTTATTTGTGTAGTATATTAGTTCTAAATTTTTTTAATATAAAGCAATTAAAAAATATAAAAAACCAAAAATTAAAAATGATCTATATGGAGTTCAAATTAAGAAAATGGCTATAGGGTTTGTAAAATGTTCAATTGGTCTAACCTCTAAAATATTAGTAAATATAATTAACTAATATTTAATAAGACTGTTTTAGAGGTTATAACTAGCAACCTAGCAGGGTTGAAATTATCGAAATCTTATTTGAGGAGTGGGTTGAAGATTGGGGTCACTGATACTCTATATTTTTTTCTATTTTTTATTTATTCTTCAATTTTGATTTATTGATAAGGTAATTGATTTTACATAATAGATATGAGATAATTGGTAAATTGAAAAACAAAAATTACTAAATTCATCCAGACGAAATATATTTATATTTTATCGTAAATATAATTATTAGATGGGAACTAATTAATATTAAATAAATTTTATTTTATATTATAAATGAAGTTTTTGTTATAATTTAATTTTAAAAATAATTTTAGTTATTTATTTTAACCCGTGCATAGCACGGGTATTATACTAGTACATATAGAACTCAAAAAGATATAATACATTCTAATTTAAAATATTTCAAATCTAATTATTAAAAAAATAAACGAAATATTTTATTCTCAATTCTTCTATTATTATCTTTCTTACTTGGCAGTCTTATAAATCTTCCTTTTCATTTTTTCTAATTTCTAATAAAAATTTATTTTTTATGAAAAAAGGTAAAATTTGAAATAAAAAGGATATGGATATGCATATATACTAAAAAAGATATGACAAATTTTAATTTAAAATGTTTCAAATCTAATTATTAAAAACATAAGCGAAATATTTTACTCTCAATTCTTCTATTATTAGAGTTTGATTTAATTTATTTTTTTTCTCTCACAATTATCTTATTTTTATATATATCGTTAAATTTGAACTTGAATTTTTTTTAATAAATCAAATCTAATTATTAAAATAAAAAAATATATTTTACTCTCAATTTTTCCATTATTAGAGTTTTATTTAATTTGCTTTTTTCTCCGTTTATCTTATTTATCCTATTATAAAAGATATATTTACTATTATATTTACTAATGGTCCCCCCTCGAACTCAAAGTGGTTTCAAAGAGACCAAGAGTTTGAAGAAGATTTTTGTTCAATCCCATTTATTTTTCATCATATTATTTTCTTCAATTATTTTAATTTATGTGTTTGATTTTGTTGTAATGTATAAGGAGGACACTCAATTTAAATCCAAATATAATTAAAATTAATTATGTAACTCTACAACATTTTTGCTTATATTTTTATTTTTGGGCAATTTTTTTAAGGTATTTGGTATTAAGTTTATAGGATAAAGAACATGTAATATTTGAATAGTGGTTGAGATCCCTCAACATTTTTCTAGAGAAATTTTGATCTAGAGAAATTTTAAAACACAGAGAAAGTTGTCTGAAATTTGTCTATGTTTTGAAATTTCTCTGAATCAAAATTTCTCTCGTTTGCTCAATTTTTTTAATTTTCTCTGTTTTAGAAAATTTCTCTAGGTTAAAATTTTGCTCACAAATTTTTCTATTTTTGACTAATTTTCTTTGATTCAAAATTTCTCTGATTTATTCATAATTTTCTCTGTCCCTGTTTTCACCAAACCAAAGAAAATTGAACATATTTATAAAATAAAATAAAAAAGCATAGAAGTTAGAACCCAACTCACTGCTGGAAAATTTACTTTTAGTGGCGTTTAAAAAATGCCGCTAAAAGTACGAAAAACGCCGCTATTTCTTTTTGTGACGTTTAGTACCAAACGCCGACGACGCGGCCGTCGCTATAACTTTATGACATTTGAAAAACGTCATTATATTACTATAGGCGGCGTTTTTAATGTCCTTTCCTAACTGGCTATGACGTCACTATGACATTTAGCGACGTCTTTGAAAACGCCGTCATAGACATTCATACATTTTAAAAATCTAGTCGTTGGGATGGGATATATTGACGTTTTTTAAATGCCGCCATAGCCTTTTTTTTAAAATTTTTAAATTGTGCTAATTTTATATGGTTGAATAAAAAAAATACCTGTCAAACAATGATCAAGAACTAATAATTGATGTTTATTAAAATAATAAATAAACTAAGCTTGAAAAATACCTGTCAAACAATTTTCAAGAACTAATAATTGATGTTTATTAAAATAATAAATAAACTAAACTTGAAAACAAAATTAAGAATAAGAAACAATGCATTGCATACGTAAGAATAGAAACAATTCAGACTTTAAATACATCAATTAAAATGAAAATGGTCAAGAAGTGTAATTTGCCCAAAAAAAGTTAAAAAGGAATAGAAAACACACTAATATGGCTTATAATATTAAAAATACCACTTGTCTTCCAACTATATCCAAAGATGAGCCTAAACTACATGCAACAGATGATACATTTGGAACCATACAGTACGCTATAATCTAATTAAACAAGATAAAAAGAATTAGAGGGAGGGAAAAGTAAAAGAACAAGAACAAATAAAAAAAACTTCATCATATTCCCTCTTTGCCTGCAACATTTTCTTCTTTGCCTGAAACAACCCATCTTCAAATTTATTATTAATTTCTCATAATAGTGTAAAATAAGAAAAATAAAGAAATTAATGTGACTATATAATTAACTTGCTTGTAATGACTTGTGGAGTCTACTTCCAGGTATGTTAATTGGTAAAGACATGAGACCAGCCATGAATTCTTGAAATTGTTTCTTTAGAAACTCCGTGCAACTCCGTGTCATCACCTGGATCCATGCTAACCAATGCCTTCACTAGTACTTGAAAAGCAATCTGAACAAACATACCTTCTTTAGTGTAAGTAACATCTTTAAAGGGTTTAGAAACGTAATTATTACTCTTACTAATATATTAATGAGGATTAGGGAACATAATTACTGTGTATGTAATATGGTTCATCATTACTTTGGACTATTAAGGATAGTTATTATGATCTTAGTTTATCAGGTAAAATAATTCATATGAAATCATGTTATTGGGTTCCTTGTAAAATTATTAGCTAAAAGCCAGTAAATTAGAAATGCTACTTATTCAAAAAAATTACTCAAAAAAATTATCAAAATTTAAAATGTATAAATTTAAAATTCATTAGAAGTGACTCACAAAAGCCTTGCCATCACTTTGCAAAACAAATCTACTCACTTCATGTAATCCCCAAGCTTGGTTTCATCTTAATCAAGCTATTATGTGGGTTTTGAGTCTAGCCAGTTTAGTGCAGCTTATTTTAAGTTAAAAATTAATCATTAAAAAGCAAACTCATCTATCAATTATGAAAATAAAAATGATACTTTAGACGCACTAGTAGATCCACCCAAGCACTAGCACCAACAGGGACAGAGAACCCCAAAAGAACCTGTAGGAGAAAGAGTTCATTGTGAGTGATAAAGGACCAAAAACAGAAACTTAAAAAACACTTACTTTTACTGTTCAATTCTAGAATCAAGAGGTGCTCAATGAGAAATGCATTGGATAATCTGAAATAACATATGGGTGGGACATATTTACTCTTCAACTATGAATCTCAATTTGCAAAGACATATGATGACACTAACAGAAGCAATATATCCATAAAAATCAGGTTTGGGCCACGGTTTGTTTCAATACTTTTACAGAATAACATTGGCATCCCACATATCATATCCATTCCTTTTTGTCTCTTTTTCAAGAGACTATCCACATAAATGCCTCACCAAGAAAAACAACAAATTACCTCCTCTGGTGGAGGAGAATAAAGAGGACTCCACTAGATTCAAACACCTAGACACAACATCCTCTAAAGCAAAATTGATGACTGCATTTACCAAAGTACCATTCTAGAGAAGGGCTTTGGAGGTCCTTGTATCTCTTATAATTGGTTTCAAAATAATGCAGCAAAAGTAGTTTCAAAGGTTTCTGCAGTTGGCAGTGCCAATATGGGTTAATGAAAATTAAGAAAGAACGTTTTTGCATTCTCTGAAATTAATAAACATAGGACAAATCAGGCCAATCCCAGGCCTATGCACGTGCGCACGTGCACACAAAAAAAAGCACAGTTCATTTATAGGACATTGTGACACAATCTAAAAGCTCGAATTGTCAAATAAAGATCACATAAATGGATGCCCACCAAAAATAAATAACTTTGAATTTTTATTTAATGTGGGAGTGAGTCAGAAGCAGATGGATTCTTATAAAGAGTTATGTAGTTAGTTATTTTTAGGTTCTTGAAAAAGCCTTGACCCTTATAGAATTTAAACAGGAATAGCTAAATGATGAATAAAAATTGGAAGGAAATTCAAAAGAGCCTTGAGTATTGCAGCACGTCCTCCTACAGTTCGCATTTTGCTATTATTATCCTCTACCTTCCGTCCACCTTATGATTTTAAACAAATTAATCTAAGTTCAATACAAAAGGGTAAAAATGTTTAATTATGACCTCTAAACTTGAGAAATTTATCGTGCCAAATTTTGCCAGTTTTGTAATTTTCTTTATCTTTTTATGAGATTTCTTTACTAAATCAAGGTAAACCTAAAGATTGAATGCATTGCTTTGTTAGAGAACTAGCAAGTTTAACATCAAAGATAGACATCCCAACGTATTGTTCATTGTAATCTTCAATATCTTACCTGAGAATAAACGGAGGCTAGATATGATGCTTCCTTTGAAAATGGGTAGGATGCATGTAAAAGTACTAAGCGGCACTTAGAGAATCTCTTGTCCTCAAGAAGGGTGCGGAGATGCAAGGGATTGGAGAGTCTTAAATCCAAATCTTTATCTCCAAAACTGATGCGAGGAAAGAATGAACAAAAAAATGTAGTCAATAAAGAGTCAAAGTCAAACAAGCACTACAAAAAGAGAAAACGGATTTGCCTTAATTCTCTGTTTGATCTATCACAATAGGACAGGTGAAAAAGAAATAAGTTGATATCTTGAAATATCTAGCCCATACCAAACTTCTAAAAGCATTCCAAGTTGTTATTTTCTTCTTCCAAATGTCTCAGCAATGAAACACATCAAATGAAACCACTTAACAATCGTAAACGCGTTACCCAGTGTGTATCTGCATTGGCAAATCATATTGTATGGCAACCTCCAAATTTTGCACGAAGAGATAGTCAATGAAGTTCTTATTTGTGATACGAACGGGGCTCCCAGCTGGAAAGGTAGAGACAGACTGATTAGAATATCCAGTGGTGAATACTTAAAACAATGAAAATCCATTCTCTGTTTGATCTTTTCAAGCCAAAAATACCTAAAGATAGAAACTAATACTTGAGTTATGTATGGTTAACATTTGCTAAATACCTAAAGACAGAAAACAATGAAAATCCATTCTCTGTTTGATCTTTTCAAGCCAAAATACCTAAAGACAGAAAATAATACTTGAGTTATGTATGGTTAACATTTGCTAAATACCTAAAGATAGAAAACAATGAAAATCCATTCTCTGTTTGGGGATAAGTCCTTCAAAAGTACCAAGCAGAAAATACCTAACATGAGTTGACCATGTCAAGGTCACAACACAATTTGCTTCCTGTTTGCACTATTCTCTTGAGTTTCTTGAGTTATGTATGGTTAACATTTTTCCCAAAATTTAAAGTCTAAATGTTCAGTTTGTCATTTTTTATATTAGCAACATAGAGTGAAAGAAACAATAACTCTCATCACCAATTTAGTGCAGGCCCCATATTTCGGATTGTGCAAACTGGATCACAAATCGCTTGCTAGCAGATGATAACACGGATAAACCTTTTAGAATGGACAATTATGTATCTTATCTTCCTAACCTCTCAGTTTGTTTTTATATAATTCATAACTAATCTTCATTCATTAAGCAAAATTACAGGGCAAACTTACACATTTTAGCTAACGAGAGTCAATATTGATTAAATATGAAAAAAAAAATCAAGTTATAAAAATTCATCCTACCTGTTCTGTAGCTTTGCTCTTGAAAGGCCCATATAAAAATTCATCCTACCTTGTTGTTTGCCCTTTAAGCACTTCATGTTCCTGATTCTTAAATAAAGTTACCCTCATACTCTTGGATTAAATTGTAGATGTTATACTTTCTATCCAAATTGACAGGAAGGCAAGTGACATGCCTATTGTTCACATCATTTTAACTTAGTGCTCCCAAAGTCAGCCATAGAAAAGGGTAAATCTTCAAGAGAACCAAGAGCATTCCAGAAAATTCAACTTTTAAGAAACTTCATAGTTCATACCTCACTATGTAGAGCAGAAGCTGCAGAACCACGATCAGCAGGATCTATGGAAAGTAGGGTCTCCATAAGCTCTAAGGCTTGTGCAGGGAAGTCCTTAAATGTATCTGCAACACAGCGTCTATAAGGCTGTTGGGGCTTGAAAATGGTAGCATGAGGCAACTTTGACTTTCTCCAGTATTCCTCAGAGGGTGAGCCACAAAGCTTAAAAATTTTATGCAACTGCTCAACCTACAAGGCAGAAACTACAAACTTACAAACAACATTCAATTCATATAAATGACAGAAAAGAAAAGACGTAATAAACAAAAAGGAGCACATAGGTAATGCATCCAATGGTGTTTAAACACATTGTAGGACACCTTTACAAGCCCAAGTCACCATGAGGCCAAGAGTCCGACCTTAATAATATTGCCAAGTATCATTTAAGAAGATGATATGTAAGTTAATTCCATGCCCAATGATCATATTAAAAATTATATTTCTTCAAAACAAGTTAAAGCTTCCAATGCTTTTGAAACTATGGCTCATTAACACGCAAAGATTTTTTGTTGCCCTATAACAATAGATACACAAAAAATATCATGTAATATACCTTACGATGATGAATAGACTCATTATTCAATGATGAACAGACTTGTGATTCCAAAGGGGTGGTCTCATCACCCACCCATAGAATCGTGATGTTGCCAAGGAAGTTTCCTTTGTTTGGGAAGGATAACGAAGGCTAAAAAAATTTCTAGTGAATAGAATATTGTGTACTCCCACAAAAATTAGGAGGTATAGGAGAGATGTTTAGCCACCACAAACAAAAACCAATTGTGAAAATAATTATGAAGAAGTAGCACATTGAAAGTCTCAAGGGATCGCTTATTGAAGCCAAATAAGGTGCTTTTCTTTGAGCTTCAACACAATATGCAAGAGGACCTCATGGGAGGCGTATGTCAATTTCAATGATATAATCACAAAAATAGTCAAACTTTAGGCACGGTCACAAAATTCAAATATGCTACAGTCTACAGATGAATTCTTTCCCTGGAGATAAACTGCTCAAAATGGTCTTAGTTAACCCACTCCTGGTGACAATGGAGTAGACA